TTTACCGAGCACGACTTTAGGCACCGATGGGTTGCCTTCTAGGTGAGCATTAAATGAATGCCAGGGCAAATAATGCTTAAGGCAGAAATGTTTAACAACCAGATCTCTGAGGGGTGGGAGGGGGAAATCTCTGATATGTAGCATATGCTGATTTCTGGGGTGTAAACACTCCCACCATAGCCAATTTAAAGCTATCAATGTGATGTCATTAGACATGGAATAGAGAAGAGATGCAGAGTAGAACACCATCATTTAACATTTCCTGCCACACAGATACAATAGATGGGAATAACCTCAAGAATGCAGATAAACTATTTGTAAAAAAATAAAAAAATAAAAAAAAATAAAAAAAAATAAAAATAAAAAAAATAAAAAAGTTGATGGTATGGTAGCTAGCAACTTAAAAAAAAAAAAAGAAATGTCAACAACTTTTTAAAAAAAAAAGAGTGCAGATAACAGTAAAATGTAAAATAATTAGGAAGTGAGGAGTTTAGAGTATTTATGATTTTATTTTAATAAAATTTAATTGCAAGTTTATATCATTTAATTTCTAATAATGGCTTTAACAACTGACTTGCAAAACTCCTGAAAATGTAACCACCAACTTTCATGAGTCAGTATGCGCCAGTTCCAGCACATTACTGAAAGAATCCTGGGAAAGCTACTCCTTTTCATGCACAGGTCTCATTCCCACTGGTATGCCACAAAAGACTGAAAACCCACCATTTAACCTATTCCCTTAATCTGAGCTCTGCCTTTGATATACTAAGAAGAACAAGATTAGGAATAAGGACACTTAAATTCTAATCCCAGTCTTATGAATTGACTGTGTGATCTTGACCTCTTTGGACTCTTAAGTTCCTTATCTGTAGAATAAGGTTAGACAACTGGTGTTCTTAAATCAATCTTTCAGATATACTTGTGTGTGTGTATGTGTGTGTGTGTGTGTGTGTGTACATGTGTGTTTACAGCTATAGTGAGGTATAATTCACATACAATGAGCTAGACATATTTACAAAGTATAATTTGATGAATTTTGACTAAAATCACCACTACAAACAAGATAATGAGCATATCCATCACCTCCAAATATTTTTGTGCCTCTTTATAATGCATCCCTTCCTCTCTCCAAATCTGTTGCTAGGCAACCACTAATCTATTATTATACAATACTTTGAATTTTCTAGAATTTTATTAAAGTGGAATAATACAGTAAGTATGTATGCTGTTCTTATAATTATTTCCTTTCTTCTGCTTGCTTTGAATTAAACTTGATCTTTTTCTAGTTTCTTATTGTGGAAGTGGAGGTCATTGATTTAAGAGCTTTCTTTTCTAATATAGCTGTTTAGTGCTATAAATGGCCCTCTAAGCACTGTGCTAGCTATTTCCCACAAATTTGTATGTCTCATATTTTCATTTCACTCTTTAAAATACTTTCTAATTTTCCTTGAGACTTACTCTGGAGCCATAGATTATTAATAAGTGTGATATTTGTTTTCCAAATATTCAGAGAATTTTCCATATATCTTTTACTGATTTTTAATTTATCTCCATTGTGGTCAGAGAACATATTTTGCATGACTTGAATCCTTTAACTTTATTGAGACTTGTCGTATGACCAAGACATGGTCTATCTTGGTAGATAGTCAATATGCATTTGTAAAGGGTATGTTTTCTGCTGTTGTTGGGTTGAGTGTTGCATAGGTGCCAACTAGGTCAAATTTATTATTTCTGTTGTTCAAATCATCTATATATTCTTGCTTATTTTCTATCTCCTTGGTTTATTAATTATTGAGCAGGATGTTGAAGTCTCTGACTAAAATTGTGGATTTGTCTATTTCTCCTTGCTCAGTTTTTGTTTCATATATTTTGAATGTGTTGTTTAGGTGCAAATATTTTTATGCTCTCATGATGAATTAACTACGTTATTACAAAATAGTCCTCTGTATTTCTGGTAATATTCTTTACTTTGCAATCTTCTTTCTCTAATAATAATATACTCACTCCAGCTTTTTATTTTATTTTTTTAAATTTTTTTTTATTTATTTCTGAGAGAGAGACAGCGTGAACAGGGGAGGGTCAGAGAGAGAGGGAGATACAGACTCTGAAACAGGCTCCAGGCTCTGAGCTGGCAGTCAGCACAGAGCCCGACGCGGGGCTCGAACCCACAAACCGTGAGATCACGACCTAAGTGAAAGTCAGACGCTTAACCGACTCCAGCTTTTTAAAACTCAATGTTAACATGGTGTATCTTTCCCCTATCTTTTATGTTTAACCTATTTGTGTTTTTATATTTAAAGTGGGTTTCCTATAGGCAGCATATAGTTGAGTTTTTTTAAAGATTTCTATTCTACCAATCTCAGCCTTTTAATTGCGTTGCTGTGAGACCATTAACTTTAATATGATTATTGATATGGTTGTTTAAAACTACCACCTTGCTTTTTTCCCCAGCTCCACTTGTTATCCAATGTCTGAAAACTGCCATTTCATATATTTTGCCCATTTTTTTCAGTTGTTAATGTGGGAAGATGAATCCATTCACTGTTACTTCATCATTGCTGGAAGTAGGAGTCCTCCACATTTTTTCATACTGATTTGTTATTTTTATTATGGATATTTGCCTTGTCCTTATACGTATGCCAAATATGTTCTTCCAGTTTATCACTGGTCTTTTCATTTTATTTACATATTTTTCTCATAAAGAGATTTTTAATTTTGATGTTCTCAAATCTTTCATTCTTTTCTTTTGGGTTTTTGACATGTTTATAAAGGCCTGCCCTATATTTTCTTCTCAATCGTCATGTTTAAAAGAAGAAAAATAACTCCTCGGTATCAATGAGTTTTATTTTTAACATCAAGTTTATTAATTATAAAATCAATACATGCACATGGTAAAAACATCAAGTAGAACAGAGGGCTATAGATAAAAATGAAAACCTCCTTTCCTCTTCTCTCACTGCCCCTCTTTGCCAAATTCCTCTTGACCAGAGATAACTGCTATTGGCAATTTCCTGTATATATTCTTCCACATGTATTCTGGACACACACACACACATGTGTATTTATCCTTTTGTGTACAAATGAGACACACACACAAACACCCACACACGGAGTTCTGCAATCTTTCATTCAACGTCATATCTTTGAGTTCTTACTGTGACGGAGTTGTATCAGATTTTTACCAGACTGACAGAGGGACCAGGGCAATCAGAGGAGATGGAGGGGGATGTGCACAGGAAAAGGCATATTCATCTCTGTGAAGCCAACACTTAGCAGAAAACCTGGCACATAATAATACTCAATAAATAAGTCTTAAATAACTAAAGGGAAAGGACTTAAGAAAACAGGAAACAAAATGGTCTTGATCATCTCAGGCCAGATATGGTCTCCTAACCAAAAGTTACCATCTCCCAGGGCAGCAGGGAACAACATATGATGATGGATGAGGACATGGAGCAGCTAGACTTCTTGCGGGCAGTAACTTCCCACTGTGCCTCCTCCCCCACTAGATTTACTATCTCCAGCACACACATTTAGTTCATATGCAGTTAGCACTGACTGCACAGCAGGAAAATCTGGGAGCTCAAAGACTACACAGCTGAGTTATACTACATTTACACACTCATACAAATAGCTACCATTATAGTACCTACTGTGGGTAGGCACCATGTTGGGAACAACAGCCATACAAAGCTAATGCCAATTTATCCCCATTTTGCAGATGAGAAAATAGCAACTGTTAGAATCCAAGTGACTTGTTCAGGGTCACAAAGCTAGTCAAGTAGCTTCCAGAGACAAGTCTGTATCTTAATTGGGCCAGTCTACTTTTCTGCCCATCCCATACCACATTAACTCCTATTTCATGGACTTTGTGCTATTTTCCCTGCATGGCATTCCCTTCCTCCACTTGTCTCATCTGGTGTTTTGTAGAAGCTAGGCAGAGAAACATGGGGTTATGTAGGATCCATGCCAGGCCATGCAATTTGCTGTCACAGGTAAGGAGTCAGCCAGCCATAGGAGTCCATGAAAAACAACAAACACCCGGAGTAGGTATTAAAAGTTCAGAAAGGGAGTTGAGCCTGGGAACTAAAAAGCACCCTCAGCTAGAATGTAGATACTGCCACAGCTCAGGAAACTAAAGCACACATTTCTCTCTCCTTAGGTGCTTTTGGTGAGCTACTCACAAACATAGCCTTGTTGCCTGTAGTCTTACAGCCACTAGCCAATATATCTCCCCCAACTCAATTCTGCCCATTCTCAAGGCCCACATCAAGTTGCATCTCCATGAAGCCTTTCCATATTAACGGAACTCATTCCTCTCTCTTTCCTCTGTGAAGTATAGTTTTACTTAAAATCAACACCATGAGATATAACATATGTTTGTATACCCTCTTGCCCTTTAATCATTTCAAGTGTCTTCTTTCCTTGACTCCTTGTTTTTTTTAATAGTAAAATTTGTGTCCTTTTGGGGGTTTTTTGGCTTGTTTTTTAACTATAGTTTATAGTCGAGTTGGTTTCCACATAACACCCAGTGCTCATCCCCACAGGGGCCTCCTCCATGCCCATCCCCCCTTGTTTCTTTAAGTTGACTCCTTCACATCCCTTTTCTATTGTTTCCCTGTCTGGTTTGGGTGTTGTAAACCTGGCTAGATTCCAGTCCTAATTCTCTCACTAATGAGCTGTGTGACCCAGAGCTAGTCACAACCTCTCTGAGCCTCATCTTCCTTTTAAGGTTTCTGTGAGAACATAGTAAACATTATAACACAACATATGAATGTAAGGCACTATTGCTGAAGACATTTGAACTAAAGTGCCTCTGACTTTCACATCCTACTTAGTAGATGATTCTAAGTAAGAAATAGAAATCACTGCCGTTTGTTTCACACTAGGGTCCTTGGCAAAGGTCAACAGATTTAGAATAAGCATATTGCACAACTGTTAAAGATGGTGACAGATGGAGGGGGTCTATATTCAGCTCATTCAGGGGCTCTCCTTGGAAACTACCAGGTGATTCCAGGCTTGCTCACTTTTAAAGCTTCCATCTTTCTGAATGTTTCTTCATGTAAATGATCCGTGTCAATGCTATGAAAAATGAAAAGAATCTCATGTCAAGCCAAGCCAGCAGATGCCTTCAGTAGCTTTCCTATCCGCGAGGATAAGATTCCCATTCCACTTGCTCCATAGCACCACCACTCTGTTACTTCACCCACATCTACCTCTCCCTCAGCCTTAGCTCCTTCCCTTGAGAAAACGCTGAACTTCCTCTTGGACCCTTACTCTTGTCCCTATCTGCCTTTATTCAAGGCCCCACTGCATTAGTCCATGAGGCCCTGCTCCTGTATATGGAACGTCTCCCTCTCTATGGGCTCCTTTCACTCAGACCAGATTTGCGTATCCTCAACAAGCCAGAAAAAGAAAAGACCAACTCCCTCCCTCCTTCCTGCAGTTCCACCAGTGCTCCCAGATACAGCCCTGCATCTCTTCTCCTTTTCACAAACTTCCTTAAAAATTTTTTTTAATGTTAATTTTTTTATTTTGAGAGAGAGAGAGAGAGAGAGAACATGCGGGGGAGGGACAGAGAGAGAGGGAGACAGAATCCGAAGCAGGCTCCAAGCTCTGAGCTGTCAGCGCAGAGCCCAACACAGGGCTCAAACCCACAGACTGTAAGATCATGACCTGAGCCAAAGTCGGATGCTTCACCGACCGAGCCACCCCGGCGTCCCTCCTTCTCACAAATTTCATGAAGGATTAGTCTCTGCTCCTTCTCTCTTCCTCACCTCCTATCTTCAAGTCACTGCAATCTGGTTTCTGGCCCCACCATGCCACTAAAGCAGCCCTTGAGAAAGTCACCTCTGGCCTCCTAATTAGTAAATCCAATGGATGTATGTTTCAGTACTTGTCCTCTTGGACCTCTCTGTTGCATTTGATACTGTTGAGCACTTCTTCCTTGAAACTCACTTTTCCCATAGCTTCCAGGACACCATTTCTCTCCTGGTTTACTCCGTGGGTTTCCCTCCCCATACCCATTTCTTAAAAAGTTGGTATTTCCCAGGGCTAATTCCCCAGAGATTCTTCCTCAGAGGTTCTTCTCTTCTCATTCTCCCAAGAGGATCTCATCCATTGTCATGGCTTCAGCTATCATCTCCAGGGCACAATCTTATATCCAACTGCCTACCTGCTAGAAAACTTCCCAGTGTCTATCAGGGACTTCAAACTCCACATGTGTGTCCCTGATTAAAACCCACTGACTACAAAAGAAGGTACGAGCTCTATGAAGTGTGTAGTGAGGTACAGATTTTAGTTTTTAATGGATAGAAACTAATCTTTATCTAGCAAAGTGAAATGAGTAACCATGCTAATTATGAAATTGTAGGGTAGGTAGATATTTAATGTCATACAAGTGTAACAAGACCTTCAGATCTTTTATACTGACTTAGCAAAAGTTGCCTTACCTCTTGATTTTGTAGAGCCCACTGTTGGGCAAGAGGTAGGCCAATATGCTTAGGAAGCCCAGAGGTCTTCTGAGAGTTAAAAGACCAGTTATTTTCAACCCTTTCTTTCCAAATTTAGAATTAGGAACATGTATCAGGGTGAGCTAGGGCCCTTATCCAAGCTCCAGTGCCAGGGAAAGGCACCACAGATCATAAAATAAGATTATCTTGATGAAAGAAGCTTTAAGTGGGGCCCCTGACTCAACTGAGGGGCCTATATCTTTGGGGGCAAAGGCAGGTTTCAGAAACATTAGGATTGATCATTAAGCTTGTTCCAACGTGCTGACAATAAAGACTGCAGTCACTTCTTTTGAGAAAGACACCATGGAGGTCCCTAAATCCCTGATGTTGAGATATATAGATATATCTGTGGCTGATTCCAGAAGCTCCTTTAGACCCAAACCACCCTGACACATACAGTACTTTAGAGAACAATAGCTGTATGTTTGGATGTGGACTAATATATCTGTAACCTTAGAGTCCAAGCATAATGGCACTGCAGGGCTAGCAAGGATCCAGACCAGCCAGGGCATGGAAACCAAACGGTCCGGGAACCAAACTTCTGTGGGACTGGTTAGGGTCAGTTCTTAGGATTAGCCCCCTGTGGCAGTGGGAAACAGCAGCGGCAGTGGACTGATTCTTTAACCAACTTTGGAAACAAAAGTAGCTCTATCTTGGGGACCAATTTTGGAAAGGTGAGGAGAGGCCTCAAAAGGTACCACTGCTAGAGTGTGTGTGTGTGTGTGTGTGTGTGTGTGTGTGAGAGAGAGAGAGAGAGAGAGAGAGAGAGAGAGAGAGAGATAGCTGAATTTGCACTCAGAATTCTGCTAACACGTCTTACTAATCACATATGGCATACAATGCCTTAACTAACCCCTCAGTCTCACTTCTTGACACATTCTGCTTTGTACTTTATGCTTCAGCAATAGCAAACTCCTTGGATATTTCCCATCCCAAGTACCATAAAATGTACTGTTTATTGTATGATACCTTTCTGATGCTATCTCCTGAGCTTAGACTACCCTTCTCCATCCTTACCACCATTTCTTCTGGCAATAGTCCTGAGACTTAATTCAGGTGGTCCTTCTTCCAAGAAGTTTTCCCTGTCCGTCTTGGATAGGGTGGGTTGTCTCCTGCCATGATCCCTTAAGACTTCATGATCACCTTATTGCATTATTCAGTTTACGTGCCTGTCTCTACCACTAAGCCCACTGGCCCCTGAAGAGCACAGATCATGTCTCACGTCTCATTCACTCTTGTCTCCTAGCACCTGGCACACTTACTTGCCTACCTCATAGCAGATATTCAGCAAGTACTTATGGAATGAATGAAGGTGAGCTCTGTCACTCTGAGGCCACAATCTTTTATCCTTTGACCTTCTGAATGTCTAGACACATATTTTTTATTGGACATATCATTAATCATCTCCTCTCTTTGCCTCTAGATGCTCTAAATTACTAAGTGGTCTTCTATATCTATTTACTATATGCAAAGCAATGGGCCAGGAACTTTTTATTGGGGCAGGGCGAGAATACAATGAGGAATAAGATTCAGCCTCATACTCAAACAGCTCTTAGAAAATAACCTTCAGGGGGCGTCTGGGTGGCTTAGTCGGTTAAGCGTCCGACTTTTGCTTAGGTCATGATCTCGCCGTTCGTGGGTTCGAGCCCCGCGTCGGGCTCTGTGCTGACTGCCAGCTCAGAGCCTGGAGCCTGTTTCAGAGTCTGTCACTCCCTCTCTCTCTGACCCTCCCCTGCTCACGCTGTCTCTCTCTCTCTCCTAGAAATAAATAAAAAGCATTTTAAAAAATTAAAAAGAAAAGAAAAGAACCTTCAGGGGCGCCTGAGTGGCTTAGTCAGTTGAGTGTCCGACTTCGGCTCAGGTCATGATCGCACAGTTTGTGGGTTTGAGCCCTGCGTCAGGCTCTGTGCTGAATGCTTGCTCAGAGCCTGGAGCCTGTTTCGGATTCTGTGTCTCCTTCTCTCTCTGCCCCTCTCACACTCTGTCTCTGTCTCTCAAAAATAAATACATATAAAAAATTTAAAAAAAAAGGGGCGCCTGGGTGGCTTAGTCGGTTAAGCGTCCGACTTTCGCTTAGGTCATGATCTCGCGGTTCGTGGGTTTGAGCCCCGCGTCGGGCTCTGTGCTGACTGCCAGCTCAGAGCCTGGAGCCTGTTTCAGTCTGCGACTCCCTCTCTCTCTGACCCTCCCCTGCTCACACTGTCTCTCTCTCTCTCTCCTAGAAATAAATAAAAAACATTAAAAAAAAAAGAAGTAAAAAAAAATTAAAAAAAAAAAAAGAAAATAACCTTCTTCCTCCAGCCTTTGCAATTTCCAGTGGAGACTCCCCCTTTTAGAGGTTCTCCTAGACTTACTCCATCTCTGTCCTACCACAGCATTAAATAATCCATAGTTTCCTCTCACCTTACTTGAGTAAGTATACATTTCTATTCATTTCAGTGTTGTTTGTCTTATATATACTCTAACATTCAGAATTGATTTGAGGTCCATGAATGGTGTCTATTCTGTGTATATGTGTGTATGTCCTTTGTTTTGTATTCTGAGCTATTACTGCACACTGTTACCAACTTGTCGACTGACAAATTATAAAGGTTTGAAGGTTGGCCTGAAAACACAATGGAAGCACATTGGTTAAAGGCAAAGAGCAAGAGATACAGGATACAGCGTAACAATTTGGAATAAAAAAGCAAACAATGGCGTGCCATCACAAAATTATATTTCCTTGCTATCACTTAGGACCATTGATGAAGCATACATAATACAGAATGCTACCACCTTAAATTGCTCAATATTTAAAGAAACATTAGGATTATTAAGCTTATTCCAACGTGCTGACAATAAAGACTGCAGTCACTTCTTTTGAGAAAGACACCACGGAGGTCCCTAAATCCCTGATGCTTATCATGTCATGAATAACTCCCCCTTTCTGGGCAGTAATCACCACACTTTCAAGCCTTTGAAACTAACATATTTCTCTTTGCTAGTAGAGAACCAGCTTCTGTTTCAGCCAGACTTGTAATCATGCCTTTATGTTGTTTGCATTTATACTTCAATCCATCAAATTGGCCTTGAATGTGGAATTTTTGCACTCGGCCTTTATTTTCCATTATGTGTTCCAGTTCTGGATGCCAGAAATGAACGGCCATTTGGTCACTGGTTAGCTGCCAACACAGCATAGCTGTATCCTAATTAAGAATGACTTCGTGTGTCAGTGCCAGCCTGCTGAGCTGGCAGATGGGACATTGACCAGGAAGGGTCAAGACCTCCACTTCCTATAATTGCATCATTACAGCTTCATTTCCTTGAGTCTTGAAGACTCTCAAATGTAAACATTAGGACCTCTAGCAAGTATTAGAAGAGGAATGGGAAAGAATCTAACATTTATGGAGCACCATCCTATGTGCCAAAATTTGTACTGGGTATATTTATAATCATTGTTTCACTTCATTCAATCCCTATGTCAACACCAGATAGTCAAGTACTAGTATTAGCTCCATTTTACAGATAGGAAACTAAAGTGCAAGGAAGTTAAGTAAGCATGGTCATGTAGCTAGTAGATACTAAACCTAATATTTAGGCCAGACTTAATAGACTCTAGATCTGGCACTGTTTTTCCTATACCATGCTGCTTCTCTTAGCAGTGAGATCCAGTGCTGCCTGTTCTCGGTCTCTCTCCTTGGCTCTGTGTTCAAGGAGAAGGCCTACTGGTAATTACCTTTCCTTTGATATTTTGCCTAGCCATGGCTTGCTCTCAGTTCTTCTTTCCTCACTGCAACGGCCTGTCATCAAACCCAACATGTCTGCCTTGACTCCCTCCCTCCCACTTCCCCCACCACATTAACTTACTAGAATGTCTGTAGTTTACATATTGGCTGAATCAGTGCATCACACAGCATTTGCACTCCAAAATCCTTGAGGTCATTTCCACTTAGGTCTAGCAGCATTAGGTTCTCATTTCTGTTTAGGACAAAGGCAAGGGCTCCACAGCACGCATCTGTAAGATGACATTCTGCTAACCTAGGGGATGAGAGATTTGAGGAAGAAATCAGTTTTACCCCAAGTTCCACAAAAACCCTCCATTTCATATATAGCCTGGATCAAGAGCCCTGTGAACAAAGGGTCCCCGTGCACTTACCACAAGGTCTGTAGTTTGCAGGAAGAGTGTTTCAGCCCTTCGCACAGTACCTGCATCCCCTCATCCCCTAAGGCATTATCACTGAGGTCAAGGTCTCTCAGGCACTCATTGGTGTAGAGTGCATTGCACAAATCCTGACAACACTCTCCAGTCAGGTGGCAGGTCCACAATCTGCCGGGAAGTAAGGTAGAGAAGGCTGGCATCATTTCATCTATACCGAGTCACTTTAGAAATTCTATTTGCCCACTGGAAAAGCACATTAGAAACTCAAAGTGTCGTGTAAAATAAAATCCCCTGGGCCAGGGTCAAGCAGAGATTGTGGAGTAGGGGAACATTTATTCCCCCTGAATTATTTGGATCTTCATTTATTGCTTCCTTGGAGATTCAATCACCAGGCCAAAAAAATACTCGTTTAATTTTAAGAGTTGCTGAAACATCAGGAAACTCAGCCTGTGGCTATAGTCCATGATACTTACGCCAGATCTTTTAACTGACAGTCAGGATGTTTTAATCCTTCGCACAGCAATTTCAGTCCCAAATCTTCAATTTTGTTATTAATTAGAAGCAGCCTTGTCAGGCTGCGGGTGGAGCTCATGACTTGGGTGAGGGACTCACAACAAGCCGCAGAAAGGGAACACTGGGAAAGCCTGGAGAAATGGAGATACCAAGGTGGCTGTTAACCATGGAGTCTTACTGAACCTCAAATGCCAAGGCCCATGTGAACAAGGATAAGCAGACACTTACACAAGACTCTCGATTACACCCTGTGCATGCTGCAGACCTTCACAGAGATGCTGTACTCCTACGTCCCCCAGGGCATTGGCGAACACAAACAACTCTTTTAAAGTCTGACTCACTTGCAAGAAAGAAGAGAGTTCCATACAGCTAGCATCTGTCAGGCAACATGTGCTCAAGCTACCAAGAAAAAAAGAAGAAAAATCAGCCACTGTTGCATTTGGCTTTGCCTAGCCTCCCCATCTAACTAAGTTCTAGCCATCCTTCAAAATCCAGCTCTTAGTGCAGCTCCTTCACAAAGCCTCCTCCTGGGGTCCTCCAGCCTACAGGGACCTCCTATCTTTCCCTGGGCTCATCTGGCATTTTTAAATGATTCCACAGTGTTGGGCACTTCATTACATCCTGAACTGTGTTGTTCTTCAATTGTTTCATATCTGTGTGTCCTTTAGGGCAACCTTGTCACTTGTCCTTCTGATAACACTACTCACATTTAGTCCAATATTGGGTACATAGTAGGTGTTCTTGAAGTAGTGGCATTCCTGTAAACATGCAAGATGGCAGTATATAGGAAAGAGCATGAGATTTGGTGACAGGTTTTGGAGTCATATCCTGACTATGTCACTTTTGAGTGCTGCTGTGACTTTGGACAAGTCACTTTTCCCTGTGATCTTAAACTTCCTCATTTGTACAATGGGGATTAAAAAATCAATTTTTGAAGGTTATTGGAAAGAGTGAATTAGATGAAATTAATTCTGCCAAGCACCAAGCATAGATCTTGGCACACAGGCACTCGACAAGTTCAATAGTCATAAGATGCTACTAGACAATTCTAAGAAACTTACTCTAGTTTCTCCACTTTACAGTTAGAATGTCTGAGACCTTCACAAAGATACTTCACCCCTGTATCCCCCAGAGGATTGTCACTCAAGTCAAGCTCAGTGAGATTTGGATTACAAATGAGAACAGAGGCAAGATATTTGCAAACAACATCTGAGCTTTCAGGGCGAAAGCTAGCACACAACCTGGAGAGAAAGAAAGATGAACAGAGATATAATTGGCTGCTTTATCGTCCTACTCACCCCCTGCCCAAAATACCTCATGAGCAGAGAAAATAAAGGCCCACCCATACAAGACTGCCAACCTTGAGTATGTCACAACCTCCAGAGGAGAGAGTTATACATTGCTCCCACAACACTGTGTCCTCCAGTAGAAATTCAGTATGTGTTGACTGCCCCTCAAAAAAAGGATTAGGAGGAAATATCATGATAACCTAATCTCATTTTAACTCCCTGCATAAATTTATAATATTTTTAAATGTTTTTATTTATTTGTGAGAGACAGAGAGAGACAGCGTGAGCAGGGGAGGGTCAGAAAGAGAGAGGGAGATACAGAATCTGAAGCAGGCTTCAGGCTCTGAGCTAGCTGTCAGCACAGAGCCTGGCATGGGGCTCGAACCCACGAACTGAGATCATGACCTGAGCCGAAGTCAGATGCATAACCTACTGAGCCATCCAAGCACCCCATAAATTTGTAATTCTATCTTGTAGCTTCTCTCAAATCCCAGAGGGGAAGTACTGTAATATCCTTAATAAGCTTTAAGGTCAAAAGATCTTTCCTCTTTTCTAAAAGTCCATTATTGGGGTGCCTGGGTGGCTCAGTTGGTTAAGTGTACAAGTTCGGCTCAGGTCATGATCTCACAGTTCATGGGTTCAAGCCCCACATTGGGCTCGGTGCTGACAGCTCAGACCCTGAAGCCTGCTTCGGATTCTGTGTCTCCCTCTCTCTGCCTCTCCCCTGCTCATGCATGCTCTGTCTCCTCTCTCTCTCTCTCTCTCTCTCTCTCTCAAAAACATCAAAAAAAATTTTAATCAATTACTCTTTAATGTTCCATCCTTACAGAGATCCAGTCCATCATTATCCTCCACATAATATTCCTTATTGGGGACAAAAAGTGGTTTTTACCAACCTTTCTATCCTCAGTCTTTGTTTCTCCATATTAAGTAGTTCAATTTCTTGAACTATTTCCCATCAACTTTTTCTTCCACTATTGTGAAGAATTTCTATGATATACTACAATTTTTGAGTCCTCAATTTTCTCGAGTTACCAGGCTCCAACCTTAGCTTTGAAGAGGACTTATAAGCACACACGTCTCTATCTCCCCAATTTAGAAATTTCAAATAGACACATTTTGTCAAAAGGAGTTTCAAAGTGGATTTTATAAATTTTTAATGCTAAAGAGCTTTTGCCTTAAAAAAACCCCACATATATACATATATGTATATGTATATGTATCCATATTTTATGGATCTAGTTGGCTGGGTCATATGTCCAGATACTTGGTCAAACATTATTCTAGATGTATCTGGAAAGGTACTTTTTAGATAAGATTAATATTAAAATCAGTAGTCTTTGAATAAAGTAATTTACCCTCCATAATTTTGGTGGGTCTCATCTAATCAGTTGAAAGGTTTTATAGAAAAAGACTGACCTCCTGGGGAAGAAGACAGAATTCTCCCAGGAGAATGCCTTCAGACTTAAGCTGCAACATCAGTTATTCCTTGTGTCTCCAGACTACTGACCTACATTGCAGATATTGAACTTGACAGCTACCATAATCCACATCAGCCAATTCCTTAAAATAAATCTCTCTATACAGGTGACCTTTGAACAACACAGGTTTGAACTGCACAAATTCACTTAAACACAAATTTTTTGATAAATACAGTACAGTACTGTAAACGTATTTTCTCTTATGATTTTCTTAGTAACATTTTCTTTTCTCTTGCTTACTTTAAGAATACAGTATATAATACATATATACAGAATGTGTTAGCTGACTATTCATGTTATCAGTAAGGCTTCTGGTCAACAGTAGGCTATTAGAAGTTAAGTTTTTGGAGGGTCAAAAGTTGTACATGGATTTTCAACTCGGGGGGGTTGGCACCCCAACCCCCATATTGTTCAAGAGTCAACTGCATATTTTATATACATGTTATTTGTTCTGTTTCTCTAGAGAACCCTAATATGTATATGATAAGTTTTTTTTATTAAAATCATTACATGGTCTTTGAAGTCAAACACATGTGGGTTTTGAATTGTGCCTTTACCATGTTATTTAGTCTTATGATCTTGGGTATCCAGTTCCTCATGTGCTAAAATGGGGATAATAATTAAAGGAAATAATAGATATAAAGCACTCAGCACAATGCTTAGCACAACGTAACTGTTCAATAAGTGTGGGTTATTATTATAGTCACTGATGGTACTGTTACTTACAATTAAAATTCTCTTCCTAAACTTGCTGCATAGGAACACTTTTAGGGACTGTCACTTTTATTCTTCTTCTCCATGACTCTTTGAAATGCTTTGATCACACAACATCCATTTTGAGTTGCATATTAAAATTTTTTTTCTTGCAGTAAGGAAACTAATAGTTATAACTTACTTGAGCTTCTGTAATTTGCAATTTGGATCTTTTAAGCCTTCACAGAGCAATTTCAGAGCTGAAGCTTCCAATTTTGTTTCCCTAAATTCCAGATCAGTGAGCCACTGACTGGTGCTGAGAACAGCTGCTAGTGCCCCACAAGAAGCAGGAGATATAAGGCATCGGTACAACCTTCAGAGAAAAGAGGAATGACCTCATCATCTTGTTCATGCTCTCCCCACATGCAAAGAGAAATTGACAAAAAATGATTATGAACAGAGACAACAAAATCTCCTGCTATCAGTTACCTCAATGTCTGTAAGACACAGTTTGGCTGCTTTAATCCTTCACACAGAAGCCTCATTCCTGAATCTTCCAGGGTATTTTTTACAAACTCCAAATCTGTCAAATACTGGTTAGTTTCAAATACTAAAGAGAGGTCCCTACCACAAGAAGCTGTGAGGTGGCAGAAAATCAGTCTGTGTGGAGAAAAAAACATTTTAGAGAAGAAAATAGGACTCCCCTTAGAGGTACCTGTTTGTACCTTACTGATGTAATGATTTTTTTCAATCCACTCAACAATTTATTGGGTGCTTACCACTGTGACAGATGCTGAAAACATAAAAATAATTAAGACCCCGACCTGGCGTTCAAGGAATGCCCCCAGTTAATGGGGCAGAACAATTAGAAAATCATGGATACAGTGTGAAAAGTACTGTAAGTGCTATGCACAAGGTATCATGGGGACACGGAAAGGTAACATAATTCAACCTAGCTTGGGGTGGGGCTTGAAGGATCAAGAAATATTTACAAAAAAGAAATACTTGAGTGCTGTTATGAAAGGGGATGAGAAATTAAACAGCTAGATGAGGAGAATGGAAGGAGGAGGAAGAGGAGGGGCTGAGGGGCAGTCCACTCATGGAGCAGCCAGTGCAAAGGCCAAGAGACAAGACAGAGGATGCTTTGTTTGGGAAACAGCTGACCCTTGAACAACTCGGGGGGGTTAGGGGCTCCAACCTCCACACAGTTGAAAATCCATCTACAACTTCTGACTCCCCCAAAACTTAACTACTAATAGCCTACTGTTGACCAGAAACCTTAACAACAATCAATTAACACATATTTGCATGTTATATTACAAACTATATTCTTACAATAAAGTAAGCTACATAAAAAAAGTGTTACTAAGAATATCATAAGGAAGAGAAAATACAATTTATAGTATTGCTCTGAATTTATTATTATTTTTTTTAATGTTTTATTTATTTCTAGGAGAGAGAGAGAGAGACAGCGTGAGCAGGGGAGGGTCAGAGAGAGAGGGAGTCACAGACTGAAACAGGCTCCAGGCTCTGAGCTGGCAGTCAGCACAGAGCCCGACGCGGGGCTCGAACCATGAACCGCGAGATCACGACCTAAGCGAAAGTCGGACGCTTAACCGACTAAGCCACCAAGGCGCCCCTGAATTTATTATTTTTTTAATGTTTTATTTATTTCTAGGAGAGAGAGAGAGACAGCGTGAGCAGGGGAGGGTCAGAGAGAGAGGGAGACACAGACTCTGAAACAGGCTCCAGGCTCTGAGCTGGCAGTCAGCACAGAGCCCGACGCGGGGCTCGAACCCACGAACCGCGAGATCCTGACCTGAGCGAAAGTCGGACGCTTAACCGACTGAGCCACCCAGGCGCCCCACTCTCTGAATTTATTTTTTAAAAATCCACATATAAGTGGACCTCCATAGTTCAAAACCCTGTTGTTCAAGGGCCAATTGTATTTGCTCTGGCCTATATTTAAAAAAATTTTTTAATGTTTTATTTATTTCTGAGAGAGACAGCATGAGCAGGGGAGGGTCAGAGAGAGAGGAAGACACAGAATCGGAAACAGGTTCCAGGCCCTGAGCTGGCTGTCAGCACAGAGCCTGACGCGGGGCTCGAACCTACCAACCCTGAGATCACGACCTGAGCCAAAGTTGGCGCTTAACCGACTAAGCCACCCAGGCACCCCTGGCCTATTTAAAAAGACTAGAAGAGGGAGCGCCTGGGTGGCTCAGTCAGTTAAGCGTCCGGCTTTGGCTCAGGTCATGATCACGCGGTTCGTGGGTTCGAGCCCCGCGTCAGGCTTTGTGCTGACAGGTAGTTCAGGGCCTGGAGCCTGTTTCAGACTCTGTATCTCCCTCTCTCTCTGACCCTCCCCTGCTCATGCTGTCTCTCTCTCTCTCTCAGAAATAAACAAAACATTAAAAAAAAAAAAGACTAGAAGGATATATATGTCAAATTATTAACAGTGGTTATCTTCTAGGCTGGGGAAGGGTGAGATTATAGGGAGACATTTACTGTATATAGGCATTTAAAATTTATTTACAATGATCATAAGTTATCAAAACGTGGTTAAAAATTTAAAAACATAATACATGCGTACTGTAAATAATTGCTATGATAAATAAAACTATAAATAATAAAGTTTTTTTAAGTACTATATTCCTATCACCCCAAAATAACCACAGTTAAAATTTTGGTACATGAATTTCCAGATTTTTAATGCACGCATACATATGTTCTTTGTAAGAAGTGAAATCATAGACAAGATAAAAAACTTTTTCGGGGTGCCTGGGTGGCTCAGTCAGTTAAGCATCCGACTTCAGCTCAGGTCATGATCTCCCAGCTCACGGGTCCAGGCCCTCCATTAGGCTGTGTGCTGACAGCTCAGATCCTGGAGCTTGCTTCAGATTCTATGTCTCCCTCTCTCTCTGCCCCTCCCTGCTCATACTGTCTTTCTCTCTCTCAAAAATAAACAAACATTAAAAACATTTTTTAAAATATTTTTTTAATTATTTATTTCTAGGAGAGAGAGAGAGAGACAGCGTGAGCAGGGGAGGGTCAGAGAGAGAGGGAGACACAGACTCTGAAACGGGCTCCAGGCTCTGGGCTGGCAGTCAGCACAGAGCCCGACGCAGGGCTCGAACCCACAAACCGCGAGATCATGACCTAAACGAAAGTCGGACGCTTAACCGACTAAGCCACCCAGGCGCCCCACTCCCCAGCTATTTCTAATGTGTAGCCAAGGTTGAGGACCATTGCCTAACTCTATACTATTTCCTCTGATTTACATGCATTTTCCTCCCTCTATACATGAATGAAAGATTATAAATACTGACAGCTTGAAGGCTTCCAGCCCCATGTTAAGAGCACGAACATTCCTCATGAGAAGTTTCTCCCGAATTACAGGCCCGACGCGGGGCCCGAACCCACGAACCGCGAGATCACGACCTAAGCGAAAGTCGGACGCTTAACCGACTACGCCACCCAGTACGCCACCAGGCGTACCCTCCCACTCCTTTCTCCAACATCATAGAAACATACATACACACCCACACACACATTTTTACAAAAATATGATCATAGAAAACATTACATCAAGTTTATATGTACTTTGTCATTTGTCCTCATAGTAGACCCATAGATAGAAACTAAGATTCGTTTACAGCAGAAGGTCATATAGTAAGTAATTGGTAAAGTAGGACTAAACCTCAAGTCTGTCTGGTTTATCCGAAGTCTGACTTCGGAAAGTCAGTGGAGATTTAAAGTGAGAGGGTAAGATCCCTCTAATGCCAAGAGGCAGGGACAGACCAGGTATCAGAGGGCTGCAGTCTAGGGAAGAAATACAGTAGGGGTAGCTGACCTAGGAGGGTGGAAGTGGTGAAGGTGGACTTATTCAAGACACGGTTTGGGGGTGAAATGGCTAAGATTTATTATCATAATTTAGGGTCACTACGATATTCACTGCTGGACCAATGGGTGATAAAGCTGTTTCCTAGCTCCACCCTCTTCCTCTATGGAATTCTGGAGGCCACAGAGGGATTAGGGGCTGCCTCTTGTTCTAGAACATTCCATCTCTAGGAGCGAAGGGCCCCCTGGTGTGGGACACACCATTATGGTATGGCGGTGGGTGGAACTTTTTGTATTTGATTACAAGTACTTCACGTTCTCCATTCTAAGTCTTTTCTGACCACTCCTGGTGTTTCCACTTTCAAGGACTTTCAACAATGTAGCAGGTCCTCTTATGTCCTGTAGCTGGGAAGGAACCTTCCTCTCGGATTCCTTCCCACCCCCACTATCACTGGAAGTTGGAACAGTCCCAGAGTAAAAGAATCGAGGGTTGGACCCAAGACTTCCTTTTTCCAGAGCCCTTGGAGGGAAAGGTATCGTCTCTCTTTGGGCTTATTAGGTAGGTGTGATTAGCCTGCACCCCATCTGGCCCGGGCTGGAGGTGTACAAGGATGGGGCAAACCAGTCAAGCGACCTTTCCGAGGGTCTGAGGGAGGAGGGGCAGGGCAAGCAGACGGTTGGAAACGCGGGTGGGGGAGGGGAGGAGGGGGGGGATGAGGTGATAAGATGGAGGAGGCAGAAGTGGGGTGGTGTAGTGAGTGGGGTTGGGACAAGGAGGCGGTGGAGAGGCTGCCCTGTTGGATGAGGCTGCAGACATGTGCAGTTATGGGGGGAGGGGCCAGACCATGAGTTTCATACAAAGAGAAGTGAGAAGAAACCCCTGGGGAATTTTAAGCAGAGATGAGTGATCCATGTGTGGTTTGTGAATATGTCAACATTCAGTTTGAAAATGCTACTATACTGACTCCCCTCTCTTAGTTCTTGGGCCCAAGTAGTCCTTTTAATAGCAGAGAAAGTTCTCTAATGTAAAGAGTAGACCCTGGATTAGAAAATCCCTCTGTAGGTACCTGCTGACCTGTCCCGCCACCTCTCCACCGTTTGCCTGGAACGTTTATCCCTCTACCATTGTAACATATCCCCACCTTTGAAATTTCTT